TTATTACAGATGCCTGCTCTAACCATACAGCCTACCTGTGGTTTGAACTGCAACTATGCTGAGTGAACTTTAGTTACCGTTTCTGAGTGATTATTTTAACAAGGCCAGTACACTCAAATCCTTGGTCACAATGAATTGTGACTTCATGCTGACAACGATTCCAAACTGTTCTGTCTACCCAATTTCACTTTGAAGGCTTGGCTTAACCCGTGGTGTGGTATATTTCAAGCCCTTTCCAAAGGTGCTAAAAACCAGGTGTGTATTCCCAGAAGTCACCTCCCTGACAAATTGACCCAGATGAGATTTGAACCCGCATCTCATGGTCAGAAAGCAAACATTCTAACCACTCAGCCACAGCCCCATTTCCCAAAGCTCAACAAGTCAAATTCAATTTATTGAATCCTTATAAAAAGTTTCCTCTCTCTCCAAATCATGCCTATTTGAATAAGACTTACTTAAAAATAAATAGTTTGGCACTACTTTATGTAAAAACCATTTATAACTTCAAGGAAGTTTTGAATAAAAGGTTCATTCAGATAAGAGTCCCAACTTCAAAGATTCCAAACTGAAATTGTCAGGCCATAAAATATTTAACTGATGAGAAATGGATCTCTTCCAAAAATTGTTATTTGAGATTTGTTCACCTTGCAAGCAAGTAAGTAATGACAATCTTGGTTGATTAACCAAAAACTGACCATCATGAAATTAACTGAACAGTATCTTGGTCCCCTGCCAAAGTTAAACACATCAATAAAGATGTTTACCACCTCACAGCAGAACCAATTCAAAGTAGCTACAACAAAAAAAACTTTCAGAAACGGCTTTGCAAAAGGTTAGAGTGTTATATATCCTACACCGGGACAGGTTTGAACCATAACTCGTTAAATCAACAAATAAACTTGAGACAGAAAAGAGTGGGGGGTTGAGATGAATTAAGAGAAATTCTGAGAGGACCATTTTTGGAAATCAGGAATGTAACTTATAATTGAAGTCACCATCCCTTATGATATTTGGAAGAAGTCACATTCACTCTGTAATATGTGCAGACACTGTGAATACAGTCAACTTGGTTCAGTCAAGAACTCATTCAATTTTTTGGGATAGTGTTGTTTACACAAAGTAAGGCTGTAAAATGGATCGGCAAAAACATTGTAGAAACAACAAGAAGAAGAACAAGTTCAATTGTCAAAAAATCTTTTTGAATGACTCCCCTCAAAATTACCGACAACATTCATCAATAATAAAAAGTTGTGAAGTAACAGGATTCCAACTATAAAATTATAGAGAAATAAATTTTAATTTAAAATTTGGATATAAAAACACTAAGATACTTGAAATGTTTAAAAATTGGAGGAAAAAAAAGCCTTGATTCTATTTACAAAGTAAAAGTTACTTCATAACAGAACAAAATCATAACACTGAAACGTGATTTTAAATCGGATGACATGGTAACATTTTACTTCTGAAAACTAGCAATTGGCAAATCTTCGAGCTTATACATTCTTTGAACATTTCAAATAAATTCCAATGCAAAACACAATGCCAATTGCTAAATGACCATCAGAGATAACTTTTGAAATTTTTATCATTACTAGAAAGAACAGAAAATCTTTCTGGGCTCAGCTTTTTGCAGTACAATGCTGAAGTCGGACATATTAATTTTGTTTGTATATTTTAAATGCCAGATTAAAAACAAATTATCACTGTGGCAATATTAAAAAAAAAAAAAATTATTCAATGGTGGCCAAAGATAGAAAGCACTTCGATTGCATGATGAATTGATATTACATGCAGAGATCCCATGAGGGGAGAGGGAGAGCAAGTTTCTTTCTTTTTTTTTTTTTTTTATGTAATTTAGTAGCAACATTTGTACAGTTGAAACACTAAAATATCAAAATTAAAAAAAAAAAAAAAAAATTTAATAAATAAAAATAGAATTTATAACCGAAAACAGAAAAGATGACAATTTTTGAGGGGTGGGGGGATTGTTACTATTATACATTAGCCTGAAAATTATCAGTGTATAATACTTTTTAATAATAATAATAATAATAATTAAAAAAAAAAAAAAAAGTCATTCATGCACACTCGCATACAATCTATATAGGGTCAGAGACACAGGTACACATGTGGTCACGAACATATCTTCATGTGCAGGTTTACATGAACAAAATGTCTGTTGTTTCACAACTACAAGCAAGTGTAAGACAGATTCGAGCATTAAGAATACTGAACGGCCTGTCCGCACAAAGTAGAAGCACACAGAAGCAACAACACACGTGGTTTCATCAGAACAGTACCAGGTGGCATCAAACGCACATTCATACAGTTGTACACATGTATACATATTCACTCAACACATTTGCATATGTACATATTTATGAAAAATGATACATATGCAAATTGGCAAAAAGTTGCATGCTAACACATTAGAGCATGGGTGAGTTTTACTGAAAGAATTGTCAAATCACGTATATGTGTTGTGTCAAAACATTCCCTCTCATGTTGTGGTGGGAGTCATAGCAACTGAGACTTGTACTGTTGTCGTCGTGGGAACTGTAACCATGACGAGAGGTTTGGCTGTCACCGACTGTCCAACAACTTGATTAGTCGGAAAAAGCTGTGACTGGATGATCGGAATCATATTCAATTGGGCAGTCTGTGGGAGACCAGAGGGGACATGAACAGTTGGAGAGACAAGTTGAGAGACGGGGGTGAGGGACACGACGGGGTGCATTGATGATATCTGATTTGAAGACGATGTTGTTGATGTGCTTACCGAAGGAGACGACAACATGGAAGTGTTCAAAATTTGTGTTCGTGTCAGTGACTGACCCAATAAAGGATTGACAGCAAGTGGACTCCCCGATACTATCTGAGAGTCGGCAGGAGTTATAATCTGTTTGACTGCCGACACCACAGGCACAGTCTGGGACACAATCGGATGGGCAGTTGGTGTCCTTACAATAGCAGTCAGTGCCGGGGGTACAGTTGCTGAAGAAACACTGACAGAAGCAGAAGAAGAGGCAGGGGAGGACAAGGCAGCTGTGACTGACACACCCGTAGGCACAGAAGCAGGTGACGTCTCAACCACAATTTTCTTGTGAGGAGTGATAGCCATTTTGGTCGGTTTGTTTACAGGAATGGTTAATGTGGCCAGTTTGATGCCAGTGGATTGAAGCCCAGGTTTTACAGACGCTGTAGGCAGTGGAATCACTGAACAAATGGAATTCTGAGGCTTCAAGTGAGTGGCAGTCCGGAGCGTTTTGGAGGCTTGAATTGTGGTTACTGAAAAATTAAAACAAATTAAGAAATAAAGGAGTCATCAATTTAGAGTTACGAAAAGTAAACTACTAGAGTAATAAGAACAGATATATTGAAAGGATATTCATAACAAAAAAGAAGGGTAACAAAAAATATACAAGGTGGCAATAAAGTTACTATACTTATAATAAAAAAAGCAAAGCATTGAAACAGGTAGCTTGCAGTTCAAATAGTATCGGTAATTTATCGTTGCTTACAATATAGCATTTTATTGTTATTAACTAGAATTAACCAGAACTGTTTTAATAATAAATTTCTGGATTATTGATTAATTGCTTTGTCTTAATTGTTATTGTAAGTAACAGTATAGTGACTTTATTGCTACCCACTGTATATTACCATAAATTGATAATACCAAAATATAATGATTAAAAACAGTTAAAATGGTTTATCGGACCTCCCTTGTAAAAGCAAAAATCGAGGACAAAAAAATGCACACAGTGACTAAAAAAAATATGCAAACAACAAATATAACATCAAAGCCCACCCACCAGTCCTGCTTACAGAGAGTTAGCTGGTAGGACTTTATATATACTGATTCCAAAACCTTCAAGTGATAATTCATATTAGCCTTGTTTAGCACTGAGAACATGTCTGGGCTAGAGGACTGAGCACACTGCTGGTTTTTAAGCAAATGTTCAGCTGAAAAGGAAACTATGTACCATAATAAAAATAACAATATTATTAATAATTACAAAAGCGTTTTAATGAAGGGAATAGGTTTTTTGCCACTGTGGGTAATATAAGAATTTGTCATTTTCAATAATCTCATGAGATATTCATAAATTTAAGAAGACTTATTTTGTAGGTAAGCAAAACTAATTCAATAACTATTTGGCCTTTTCTGATATTTTCTTGCAATTAAATCCAAATTTAAAACTTTTAAGATATTTAAATATAAGTTTGTCAGATAAATTTGTTCATTTTTTTTTTTTTCAATGTTATTTCATTTAATATGCAAAATATTTGAACATTTAATACAAAATTTAAAATACAAAATATTTTTACTGCAATGTTTTATGGCTTTTCAAGGATCAATTCTTCCTTTACAAGATTTATAGATTTTATATTATTGATTGAATTTTTAAAATTGTTGATGAATAATAGGATTGATTGGTTAATTTTATTTAATGGCATATCAACACAACTATGGGTTATTTAATGCCAAAATCTAAATATTTCAGAACAATTTTATAGCTTCAACTACAGATAAAATGTATTGTTGGTCACTTCACTATGAACATGTATTGTTGGTCACTTCACTATGAACATGTATTGTTGGTCACTTCACTATGAACATGTATTGTTGGTCACTTCACTATGAACATGTATTGTTGGTCATTTTTTTAATATAAAAATGTATTGCTGGTATTATACTATAAGAATGTATTTTTATACTTTTCATAGTGTTTTGTTTTTGCTTCATTATCTGCCTGTAGATAGGACCCTAACAGGTGCTACCACACTCCTCAAAACCTTCAATCTTCTGATCAGAAGTCTTGTTGTCAGATGCAGTTATAAATAATAGGATTAAAATTAATAGAAAAAAAAAAAAAATTCATCTGGCAACCCAATAATTTCAGTAAATTTTAAGTTTTTATAAAAGTCTGATTATTACAAGAATTTGTAATGCTTTTGGTCTTAAAGAAAAAAAAAAAAAACTTCAATTACATGATTTTATGCATACATTTACATTTTTAATGCCATCTCCCATCAGAATGTAGTCAATAGCGGTTGTCAATAGATTCCTTTCCTTTATTATATTTAAATTACCATAACACCTTGGGGAAGATAGTGGAGTGGTTTCTCATTGCCTTCTTCAAATTTTTTTTTAATTCTAAGGTTTCCTCCTCTTAGATTGGTTGCCAACCAGAGCAAGAGAGTTCAGTCTACCCTAATATTTTACCCATAACTGACAGGAGAAGAGCAGGATATGTGTCTTTCCCAAGGTGAAAATAAATACAACAGACCAGGCTGGAATTTGAACTTGGCCCTCCATTTTCACTTTCTTTGCTGATATCCATTAAACTAGCAGCCCATTTTGCAGTTAGGTGTGCAAAATATGAAAGGTGGATTTGATACAGACCTTAACAGTTCTTTTTAATCAAACCTATTTGGATGAATATTTGCTGCCGAAATATATCATATTTTTATTATTTTTAGTGGATACCCACATTTGAAATAGACACTTTTTTTTTTTATTTTAAACAGTGTGTATTATGCATATCAACTTGTGTACTTGAATAATCTTAAAAGAAAATGTGTTCTTTGGCAGAGTTTGAATTTGTGTCCCCCTTTTGTAGGGTAAATCTACCTTAGACCACTTGGCAACAGCATCTCATCCCAGAAAGTTTTTATTTATCCTTTTAGGAATGCATACTATATTGTTCAGATTTTCTTGAAAGCCAATACCTGCTTGTTTTCAAATCAAAAACATAAAGCAATTTCTAAAGAATTAATGGATTTATTTTTAATCTAACTCCTCTTTATTACTTCAAACATTATTTTTATTCGATACCTGGGTTTGAAATACATGCTCCTTTTATATAGTGTAACTTTTCTTCCTAGAATATTATATTCCAATAATGTTCTTATACTCCTATAATATTTTAACTTTTTCCTGTAATTTTGTTCTGATCATGAAATTAACTTAACTTAAAAATTAACATTAAAACAATTTAAAATCAACAGGAAGTAAACAAAATAATTTTTAAAGCTTCTGATAATTCTTTTTCCATTAAAACTTAAAATTTAAAACTTTCTAATTTTTTGAAATTAAAATTTAACACTTCAGAAACATTAACATTACCGTAATCATTTTTAAAATTAAAAAAATTCAAAAAAAAAATCCAGTGATCAATTTTAAATTTGCTTTCAGTAAACAAAAGTAATTTGTTTAATTTTATACTATTTTACTGTGATATATTTTATGTATGAAAAATATAAAAGTCTTTCTTGTTGACATAAAAAAAACGTATGATGTTTCATATTTTACAAAGCAATAGACACCGAGATTTTTTTCACTCCCAAGGTGGAAACGTTCCCATATCTTATTACATGGATGGGAGTGACATCTTGGTTTTGACTAAGGGTAGTGCCATACTCACCACATTTGACCTGCAGGTTGGCAAAGGTATTTTTTTTTTGTTTTCTGTCAGTGAATGTCCCTTAGCTGAGTGTGCTCCTGCACCTTGTACACTAGGGTTCAGCACCTAATTTTTTTTTACCTACAGCTCAGGGTAGAAGTTGATTCCAATCTTGGTTTTGAATTCAGAGTTGTCCTTCTCCTAGACTAGTTGCCAACCAAGGCTAAAGAGCCCAGTCTGCCCTGCTATTTGTCCATAGCTGGAGGGAGAAGAGAGATATTCCTGCCTTTCCCAAGGGCATCACCTACTACTAGATAGGCAGGGGGTTTATCTTAAAAGTAATTAAAAATATTGATAAAAATGGGGGGGCACATGGAATAAAATGCAAGAAAATCTTAAAACAACTTTAATTACATTTTTTTTTTTACTTCAATAAATGATTTTTTTGGTTTAAATTTGTCAATTTTTAAAGGAAAAAAAGAATAGGTGATGAATATTCATGATTACGAGTCTCGTAATCCATAATGGTTATAGGCACACCACATGCACTGCAGCTGTGGCAGCAGTGTTGTGTCTCAGGTAAGATAGCTTGACTCTCCCCAGGCTGATTTGAAGGAGTTTTCCTTCTAGGAGGGCCCAGTCTATCCTGTTTAGCCACAGCTAGGGAGAGAAAAGATGGATTCATACCTTCCCCAAGGGGATTTATGTGTAAGTGAACGTAATCAACTTGATTGGAATTCAAACTCAGCCCTCCAACTTCTCATACTGAGCTTCTATCTCTTACACCGCCCACACATCCATAATAAGGAATTTTAACAAAACTGATATTGTTAAAATGCGAGTCCACAATACCACAAGCAAGAATTACTCAATGTTGGTTTCTCAAACGCAAACAAAAAATCTGGATATTTGAAATAATCACCTTGAGAAGATGTTATTTCTGCCCGAGTATTATTCGTAGAATTTCCAATAATCTGTTTATTTATGGCTTGTCTCTGAGCCAAAGTCTTGTGTAAAATTTCCATCACTGGCCTTTGAGCCATTGTACTATGATTACTAGTTAAGCTAGTATTAATATTCTGTGTGATGTTAGTAGCAGATACAGAGTTGTTGGTAATTACTGTCGTTGGTAAGTTGATATTATTCTTCAAAGGTTTTATGGACCCAGATAACAAAGTCGTCGTGGAAACGACAGAGGAATTAGAAGCAAAAGTCACTCGGGGTGAAGCAGTCTCAATAGTGGTTGGTAAGGCTTGACATGTAATTACAGAAGTTGCTTTTCTTTCCAAATCTTTCTGCTTTTGAGAATTATCTGAAAAAAGAAAATGTTTACTTTAAACATTCAAATCCAAAAAATCATAAGGGACATTTTAGGACAAACCTAAAAAAAAAAATATAAAATTAGAAGTTTAATCTTACTAGAGTCTTTTTGCAACACGCTGACACGTGTTGAAATCCTTACAGTGTTTAGTATTGTTGAAGTTATCGCTAACATTTTTGTTGCGATTTACAAACTCTACATTTTGTTCAATTTTGAAAAAAAAAAAAAAAAAAAAAAAAAATCAATGAAATTTGAATAGGCTGATTTGTTTGGAAAAATACTTTGACAAAAATCCTACTTTGTGGTTTAATAATATTGTTTCCTAGAAAAGAATAACCAAAACAGAGGTTGGAAATGAAATGGTAATCTTTATAATATCAACAAAATACAATACTCGCCAGCAGCATGAAGTAGGTAAACCACTTCTAGTGGTGGACTACTTAGACAGCATATTACCCCCACTTACAACATATTTATGAGGATTGGGACATACTCATTAATGTTTATAAGTATGCATATAACAAATAATTTCTTCAGTTTAATTTAATTTTATACGACAATGCTAAACAATTTTTAAGAAAATTTCTTTTTTTTCCTTTTTAACAGTGAAGAATAAATTCTTAAGCATGCAACTGACCATGCGTAAATATATCTTTGTGGAGCCAAATTCCAACTTTTTGAAGTGTTTGGCCTTGTGATTTGTTTATAGTTCTTGCAAATGCAAGATGAACTGGAAACTGGATTCTTGTATATATAAAAACTTAAAGAAAAGATATGCAAAAAACAATTTTTGCATTTTTATTAAGTATTTGTTATTTTAATCATTAAATTGTTCTTAAAATAGTGGGAGTATTTTGTATGTTAAATAATAAAACTTCATTTTTCCCCCCAAAATTAATGAAAATGTATTGTATTAAGCGCCACACCAAAGTAAAACCAACTGTACTTTGTTTGTACCTCCTTACCTGTTTGCACTTCTGAAAATTTGATTTTGATTGGTCAATTTTAGAGGGTGTGATGGATGGAGACTTATGGAAGTCACAGAAGTTTATATATAGATAGATTAAAAATGCCTTCAAGTGAATGAAGCCTTTAGGTCTTAAAGAACATAATCCGACTCTATAAACCAGTGTTTCTCAACTGTACTGTACTGTACTGATGTGGCATTCACCCTGGGCGGATTGAGCCGGCTTCTTCCTGTTATGAGAAGAAGATTCTTGGGATAAATTACAAGTAGGGTACCCAGGCCTACTGGATAACGTTCTTGCTTGTCGCGGGGTTCCTACAGGCGCAGAGACAGGAACGACCAAGCCGCCGGTTACCCGATGCAGACGCTCCTTGATTTTTTCACCAGAGCCCTTGTTAGCCGGTGATGTATGTCAGACCTGTCGCTTTTTGGGTGGGCCCTACCAGGAACGAAGTCCGGGCGGCATAACTCTGATACTACTGTTTACACCCCCCCCGACTGTGAGGTAAGGTTGTTTCTCAACTGGTGTTCCCCAGAACCCTAGAGTTCCGCTAGAGGTTGCTAGAGGTTAAACACGAAACTGATAAATAGGCTGAATCAGATTTGCTTAATTTTATATTTGGAATTTTACTATACATATATGTAATCTTGTTGGAAATTCTTTGGTTATTATAATAAAGGCTCCAACCTCTTATATTATTTCAAATTATAATAATCATAGGGAATGTATTTAGTGATGTCTATAGGGTGTGAGTGTGAAACCACCTTCACTGGTTAGTGTACAGGACCTGTATATGGTGGATTGGTGTATCCTTGCGTGACTTACTCGAGTACAGGACACATGCATGATGTCCATATATTATCTTTATCATATGAACTATGATAAGAAATATAAAAGCGATAGATATTATTAGTGGTATAATAGAATTTTTATGCAGAGCTTCTCTGAGACATGAAACCTATTTCAAAAGTACCAGAAGGTTAAAATGTTTAGAAATGCTGCTATAGACCATTACCAAATCACAAGGACTGTACCACATAACAAAAACCACTTCACTTAAAGACTTCCAAAAGCAGTAACTATTAAAATGGATAGCACATGTAACTAGAAAGGGAAATTAATGATATAATGAAGGTGTTGATTTTCCACATTACCTGAAACAAAATGTTATGAAGGAAACTTTTATTAGTACTAGAAAGACTAATAAAAGTAAACTTGAGAGACCTATTTTCCTAAAAAAAACTGTTTTAAGAGAAATATTTTATAAATTTCAACCGACCGTAATGCTGAAAATGAATGCCTAATGTTTCCTTAATAGGAAATGGCTAATTTCACTGTTATTGCTCAGAAAGTAAATTTACTGATGAAAAGAAATTATTTCAACCTTTCTTTCTCAAGTTCCTAAAAGTCTTGTTTTTTTTTTTTTTTTAAATCACAACAGCAACAGGATTAACTGAAAAATACAACTAGAGAAATCTCCATAAATGACAGAATAAATGATTGAACACGGAAAACAGAATCAGTTCATTTCTGGATTGGTAAAAGCCTAAAAACAAGAATATCTTCCATGACCCATCATTTTTAATGTAAGATTCTAGTAAGAGTGCACTAAAATATTTTTAATAGTTATACAGGTAGGGCAGAAATACCTCACACATAATGGTAAGACATTAGTGATAATAGTATCTTCATATAGCTAATGTTTTACCATTATGTGGGAGGTATTTCTGCCACACTCTGTACTTGTAAAATGGTTGCCTGGTGTAGTTTTAAGCCTGTGAGAGCAAAAAATATCCTGTGCTACCATTAATCTATTAAGGATAAAATTTAATTTAAATTTTGATAATATTTTTTTGTATTTCAAATGTCCTGTATTATTAAAATGAAATAGAAAAGAAAGCAGAAACTATTGCAGGTTTCAGTTACATGGGAAAAACTAGTATTTCTCAACCGATGCAACAGAGCACACTAATGCACCCTGAGAGGTAGCCAGGTGCACACAGGTACACTAATGCACCCTGAGAGGTAGCCAGGCGCACACAGGTACACTAATGCACCCTGAGAGTTAGCCATGTTCATTCAAGTTAACAGAAGAGTAACTTATTCATTTTTTTTTTTTTTTTTTTCATTCTTACAACAATTATAAAACCTTATGATCTTGTAAAGTTAGTGACTAAATCTCATTCATAAGATCTGAACTTTGGAACTTGGGAAGAACATATTATATATTCTTTTTTAAGTAATAAAAATATAAAAGTCCTACAGCAACTGAAATGTCTAATGCTTTTTAAGTAAGTACTAAATGAACTATTCCCTAATTTCTTCACTAGTTTGCTAAATTACAAATATATATATAACATTATTTTCAATATACCATAATATTGGAAAATACAATTTCAAGTAGTGTAGTATAGAGTGAGTTTTTATGATCAGTTTTTTTTACACAAAAAAATAGCTTTGTCGCACTATACACAGGTAATTTTTTGAAAAGGTTAAAAATCATGCATTTTCAGTGACTGGTAGCACTATACAAAGGTAAATTATTTCATGGGTGGAGTTAAAATTCACAAATCACAAAACTAAACTAAGACTAATGTTTCCTTAATAGGAAATGGCTAATGGAAAACAGAATCAGTTCATTTCTGGATTGACCTTATACACAAGTATATACAATACGTGCAGAAGCGTACACATATACACATACAAAGAATGAATTATTTATTCCACATGAAATACAATCTTCTATGAAAATTTGAAATGTGCCCCAGAGTTTTAATTATTCTACCAGTACACCCTGAAGTAAAAAAGCTTGAGAAACACTGATTTATATATATATATATATATATATATATATATATATATATATATATATATATATATATATATATGTGTGTGTGTGTGTGTGTGGATGGCTCTCCTATCATGAATGATAAATGAGGGTTAGCATTGGATGGTGCCTTGTGTTTTACACTTATACATGCTAGCAGGGGCTATTGTGGAGAAAATCAAGTAAGGGAAAGACATATTTGTGCTTTCTTGGTGTGATACTAACCTAGACTTCCTGCGGCCAACAAAGCCATACTGACAGATAAAATTTGTTAAAGCAGGATTTTGATGGCGTGTCTGCTTCAGAGCTTGACAAAGCTGATCATGGTGCTTCAGTCTACTGTCTTCAAAACCCTTTAACTTAATGAAACATGTGTTATGCCACTCCTTTCGGTTTGATGTTTGGGCTTCCCAGGTTTTCAGATCAAAGTTATCTTTCAATTTGTCTTTGTAGCGTAAGCATGGACATCCAACTGAACACTTGGAGTTTGGTGGTTGTCCGTACAGCACCTTCTTCGGAAGCCTATGCTCATCCATTCTCACAACATGACCAGCCCACCTAAGTTGTATCTTTGCTAGAATGGTTTCAATGCTTGTGATGTTGTTACATTTCTTCAGTATTGCACTATTCTTGATCCAGTCATCCCGTTTTATATCACATATTGCACAAAGACTGACACATGAAAGGTGTCAAGTTGATTTATGTGCTTGCAGTACAGGATCCAAGTTTAAGCACCATAGAGACGGGTTGAGAGAACGACTGATCTGTACATGTCAATCTTTACTATGTATCCACATTGATGAGCTGTGAAACAGGCTTGTATGTGGATAACTATTTATGCTCCCATTAGCCGATTGAGCACTATAGAGAAAGGATAATTTTAAAAACAGTGGCTGCTGCTGGTATTAAGGCATCACTCTTCAATTACGAATTGAGCACTCTTAGCTACTGGTGTTTGTATACATCTCATATATAATACATTAAAATGTCCTTTTCTTTGTTATGCACCAATAGCTTAGGGGTAGAATCTCTGACTGATGTCAAATTGGTTGAGCTTCGATCCTGACTTCAAGCAATTGGACATCTAGCCACACTGACAAGCTGTGATACAGTGAAACAGGCTTGTATACGGATGACTATATATATTTTTTTTTCTCAAAATTTCATAAATTTATTATATGTGGTACATGCGGAAGAGTACACGTATGCACATACAATGAATGAATTATTTATTCCACATCAAATACAATCTTCTATTAAAATTTGAAAGTCAGCCCAGAGTTTTAGTTGACCCTGAATTAAAAAAAAGGTTGAGAAACACTGGGGGTAAACTGAAAATAATCCAGCTATGTCTTCATGTTTTGTTATCATCTTTGTCCTAACTGGCAGCTGATCTCAAAAACGACCTACAATTAAGTTGTTAACTGGAGCAATTCAATCATGTAACAAGGGTCAGGATATACAATTGAATCTATCAGAGTGATTTTGCAATGACATAGTGAAGGGTAACAAAAATGAGAAAATACTCACAGTCTAGTTTTGAAAATTATTTTAAAAGAAATGTTTTTATTTAGTTGGTTGCTTCCAAGAGATTCAAAGAAAAAAATGAAAAACAATAAAGAATTTTGCGATCCAAACTTATTAAGAAATTTACCCTGATGTTCATCTTCGTCCTCATCTTCCACATCACTCATGATTGGACCATCACCTTCTGTAAGAAAAAAAATAAAAAAAGAAATTTTCTCTGAAATTTTAAAATATAAAATTATGAAGGCATTTCACCAGAAAACAGCAAAATTACTGACTTTGCTGAAATTTAAAAATGTCCAGATTCCAGAAAAAAAAAAAGTGCCTTATCTAACAACACAGTAAATACCAAAAGATTGCATTAAAGTGGGGGGGGGTCGTCAAATTTTATGACCAGAGGCCCTCCTTTGTTTCCCCTCCTTCACCAGTGACCCCCCCATTCAAAATATCTTTGAAACGTAAAACTCATGCTAATGTTGGAAATTAAGATGTCAACTAAAATGTATAAAAAATTAAGAAATTTGGATCAGGCTCAAAATATTCAGAATCTCCCCCACCATAAAAAAAAAAGAAAAAGAAAAAAAGGGCAATGGTTAATATAGCATTAAATAAGTCCCACCAAATTTAGCTCAGTGTCATTCACGCCATAACTATCATCAATCCTCTGGAACTCCTCACCAATCCCTGGGGTGGCTTGCTTGTACCCCATTTGACAATCCCTGATCTAGTACAATGGACTAAAACTGGACACTCTAGCTATGTTTGCAGCCAGTGCAGTTGTCATAAAGCATTACTGATGTTTTGTCCCTGCTGGAATCAACAGCCATGTGTCGATGACCAAGGTTAACTATCAAGTGGGCGGGCATCGACAGTGGGTTAACCAGGAAATGGATGGACTCCACTGGGTCTACTTGCTCGAGGCACATTACACATGAATGAATACCTCTTCAACTTTCAATTCAGATCTGTACTAACTAGTTAAATTAAACAAATATTGCATCGTATTGAATGCAATCATATCAATCAGGCCAAATGACCTTCATAATCATAAACTCTATTTTACAGTTAGAGGTTGGAAAAAAAATGGGATTGTTATCTGAAAATCACCTTGGAAAAATTAAAAAAGAGAAAGCAATGCTCAATTTAGCATTAAATAAGCCTCATCAAAATAAGTTAAAGGCTACTTGGATTGGTGTATCAAAGCCTTTTGATTCCTTCGATCATCGAGTTCAGTGTCTTTCTTTCATCTGCACTGAAGAATTCAGCACACACATACAATGATTAAAATTTAGCTCAGTGTCATTTGCACGCCTATCCCCGTTTGACGCCTTGACTATCACTGACCCCCTGGAACTACTCACCAACCCCTAGGAGGGTGCTCAGACCCCATTTGATAACCCCTGCATTAGATGGAGATGGCATATTTCAGTTGAAAGTGACATTTTTTTAATACATCACTTAATCTTACAATTTAAAAATTCGAGCAATAAAATCAGACATATTAAAAGGCCATTCATATTTTTTTTACAATGATATTCACCCTGAACAAGGCCCAAGAGCCACTCGAGGTAGAGGGTTACAGAGTAAGAGGCACAGTTTATGAGGTTATGTGAAGATAACAGTTAACCCATGACTTGAACAGGTTAAGATTGCAGTGATCAGGGAAGCATCCCCTTGGGAGTCAGTTCTACAAAGCATCGGGTCATTGAAAGAAGCTGCTCGAGTGGAACTTACATCTCATCAATAAAATACAAAGAGAATAAGGGGGATTCACTACAATGGGCGTGGCACGGTGGGCCATGAGAAAAAAGAAAATTCATAACAAACAAAGGGGATAACAAAAAAATATACATTACCATAAATTGCTAATACTGAAATATAAGGATTAAAAATGACTAAACCGGTTTATTGGTACACTCTTGTCAGAGAGAGAAAAAAAAAAAAAATATGATGTGCACAGAAACTAAAAAATATACAACCCCAGACTAATGCTATATACAAATAAGAAATAACAGTAAAAGCTAAAAACCACCAATTATTCCTTCTGCTTACAGAGAGATGGCTGGTAGGACTTACAGTAAACAGATTCCAAAACTTTCGTGATAATCATTATTAGCCTTACTCAGCACTGAAAACATGTCCAGGCTATAGGACCAAGCACTCACACAAATTTCCATGTTTCCCTTTCAAATATTGGTTGGTACTTGTAGGTTGATCTATGCCTCCAACCTTTGTCCCATTCTGCCAACAGAGTCAGCAATGCACTGACACCTGAATTTGTAAATTACAGAATTAATATGATAGGTAGACAGAATATCTCAACATAGGTAGTGCAACAAAAACAATATATGGATTGGCAGAAAAACAAGAAATTCCAACACCAACTGAAATTCGCCCGGCAAGTTCCACACCCACCACGCCAAACACAGATAGGCAGAACACTCCCAGGAACCAACCAAGCATGGCCCATGAAACTGTTGCAGTCTCTTTCCAATGCCTGACCCCACGACATCCAAAGGGAAACCATTCTCATTCAGAACCTTCCCAACAAATTCAATTTCTGAATCCAATTCAACCCACAACTAAAACTAAAGCACACAACTAAAGCCTGACAAATCTAATGGCAATCAAACTGACTTCCAGCCACCAAGAACAGAAGGAATGTTTTTCTCTTATAATTAATTTTACACATGGCACTCCTGAGACGGGTGTAATTTTGGAAGCATATTGGACCAAAGTAGAGGGGAAAAAATATATATTATATAAATTGTAAACAAAATTAAAATGTTAAATATTAATTTGAATGTAAAAGGTATTTTTAATAATAAAGAAATAAATTTAAATAACACCCACTTTAAAAAAGAAGACTGGTTTGACAAGATTCCTTAGTAAGCAAATTGTGACACAATGAGTTTCTGCTTGAATTGACTTAGAACTCACTCACACAAAGTAATGATTTTACCTGAGACTGAATGGTTTGGTGTTTTAGGACCATCAGTAAAGTCTAGAAATAAAATCTTCAAAGCAACAACCTGCTGTCCATTAGCAGGAAAAAAGTGAAGAAAATAAATAAATGAAAACGTTAGGAGTCAAGTGCCACTTGGCCAGAAGTTAGGGAATTCCAGTCATAAGTTTATATAGACAAGGTGACAATTTGAGTAAATGAAAAGGATGATGAGACAGTGACCAGAAAGTGGAGCTTTGGGTTTTTACATACTCACTCCACCAATAACTCCTGGCCTGCTTCTGAATATAACAGAATATAACACCTAAATTGTGACATTACTTTTACTTATTCAAAGAGAATTTTAGACAATTGTACTCCTTACTCTTCACATTTTTTGCGTGATTTGTTTATTTTTTTATTATAATGCAAATAAAAAAAAAAGACAAGAAAGAGAAAATGTAGTCATTAATGCCAGTTTGAAAATTTATTTATTCTATTTTAATCAATGTTGAAACACAGGGACAATAATCGCAAAGAATGAGTTTGGTTGTCTGAATCATTTCAATGAATAAGATGTTGATAACTTTTGAGGAGAGTCATTCTCCTAAAAATTTATCAACATCTTATTATTCATACTTGAAGCTCTCAGAAAGTGACATTAGAAGCTTGCTGTCTATTAGAAAACTGATACACTAGCAAAAGAAGGAAAATATCGCATGACTTTATTGGTTTTATATTTACAGATTCATAGCAATGAAATTCATATTTACAGGTCAATAGAGTCCACATGCATAAAATGCACATTTATAGAGTCCCATCAATCAGTTAAGTGCTATATATGATACATGCGTGGGCGATCATCACTAAGCAAAAGATATTCCTCTCAGTAGGCATACTATTAATTAAAATGCACATTCGCAGGTAAATACAGTCCCTCGTACTATTAATTAAAATGCACATTTGCAAGTAAAATAGAGCCACAACAGTTAAGTGCTATACATGATACACACGGGGGGGGGGTCATGTCTCACTTGATTCATGATTAAGCACAAGATTTTCCCTGCAGTAGACATACTATTACATAAAATCTATATAAAAATGTAAATAGAATCACCATATTATCACATAAAATACGCATTTACAGGTAAATAGATTCCCATACGAATTACCTAAAAAAAAAAAAATCAGAAATCATAATACCTGATGAGGACAAAGACAAAATCAATATTTACCTGACGCTGTTGATGTGGAATACGTATCATCTTCCTCTTCTTCATCGGGTTCTTTATTCACAGAGAATTCTATATTCATCAAACTAGTGTCCATTTTCAAACGCCGTAGTTTCTCTTGCAGTACAATTTTGTACTGGGCTAATTTCTGTACTTCTACTTCATATTCTTTTTCTTTACGCCTCAGTGTCTGCAAAAAAACAAGATTTACAATTTTAAAAATAAATTCTATAATATAAAACACAATATGAGATATATATATATATATATAAAAAAATCACATTATGTTTTATATTATATATATATATATATATATATATATATATATATATATATAAATACACACATACACATTTCATTAAATAATATAGACAAGTGTTGTCTATTTTATGTAAATTTTTTCATAACATCTGATAAGTTTAATAACATTATCGTTGAACGAAGAAAGAAATTCACAATAATGATCCATATTTTTTAATATAATTTAAGCTTTCAGCTTAAGCCATTATCAAAGATGTCAATTACAACATATTAAACAATATACGGACACAACAGTCATGATAGTCTGTCAATGTTTACATAGATGATTTCTAAGCAACGATAAACACGCATATATAAGACGCTAGAAGCGAAAATCGCACCGCATCTCATAACGTCACACATGACCACACGAGAATGAATTGGAGAATGAAGTATGGAAAGCCGTTGGTATAAACCAACGGCTTCTGTTACCAATTATAGACATTTAAGAATATTTGTAGAGATGCCATAATTGATTTTGTTTAGGTTGGGTTTTGATGTTTGATGTATAATGTTTTCAATATTATAGTTTATATATATATATATATATATATATATATACACACACACACACGTCAGAAAATTCCAGCAGTAGCATTAAAAGCTGTTAAAAAGCTCTCTATGATTATTTTTGATAAATAATTTCTTTTCGCCCTTAGTGTGTAACATGCCCAGTTTCCAGAGCAAGATCACAGAATCTAGCCTTAGCCATGGCTTAGCTAAGTGGATCAATAATCTTCTATCCTAGTGCTTCATCTCCAAATAATCAAGGATATATATCTGGAGAAAAATTCTTGTTTCATTATCTAAGCACAGCTTGTCTAATTTTAATCGCTCAGTGACGCTCGCAGCATATGTGATTAGTGGTTCCCAAACAGTGCTGCAGAAGAGGATAGCAGGTCAGGCGGAATGATTGAAAGACAAATATTTAGAAACTGTTTCAAAAAATTCAAATGCCAAAAATAAATATGATTTCAAAATGTAAAATATTATTATGGATTACTTGTAGTTGCATGCATGAATCCCATTATGAATAATTATAAATAATTATCGATTGATTTTATTGTGATATTTTTGCATTATATCAAGTATTAAGAATATAGTAACTACGGTCTGCAAGTTGGAGGAGAGAGTTATCAATGATAATGTTCTGACTTCAAAACCGCAGTTATCACCCTTTAATCTTGTTTTTTTTTATTTTTATGTATGATGGCAATGTGCTTTTCTGCAAATTTTGGCATCATCACGTTGACCTTGTTAGAGCAGAGAATAAAGGACCATAAGTCTAAAAACCATTTGGCTTCTAACAAACAGCCCACTATGAAACAGACTACTTTCGTGAAAAGTAGACATGAAAAACGATTTCATCCTTGATTTTTTAAAAAAGTGCACATTGTATAACACAATTGTCAATAAAACTGACAAGCTGAGACCATTTTTGTTAATGTATTGTAAGGAAGGTGGTGCTATTCCTAATGTTAAATGTATTAGCCAACTATATCTACCAAAATTGTTTGATAGTCATTCTGCTGCCCTAAAACTGAAGCTTGCCAATGAAACCATAACTATCACAGCAGATGAAACTAGTGACCACAGCATTTTGAATGTGATTGCATGCATTCAAAGGGAGCCATTTCTTATCTACATGACAATGAAAGAATGCAATCATCAAACTAAGTTAGGCTTGCATCCGAGCTGTTACTTATGTTGACATTGCATTTAAAGATATTACTGCACTTGTATTTGATTCAGCAGAACATTATAAAAAGGAGCATAGAAATGTTTTATCCAATATATTTGTAAACAGTCATCATGACTTGTGTTTAGCACATATTTTACATCTTGTTTATGAGGTATTCTCTCACTGGCCACAATTTGATAATGTTGCTCAGCTCAATACTTTTAACAAGTCAGGTTTTTGGAAAAAAACCTGAACGAAAACAGTAATATCTGAAATGGCTTGAAGTCTAAGCAACTAGTGAAGTTCCCCACTGTTCCAGTGGCAACTTGCTGGAATTCATGATTCAATTCAGCCAAATATCACTCTTCATATGTTCAATTTGATGAAGGATTCTTTGAACAAGAAAACAAAGCCACAGTTTGGATGCTGACCAAATTTGGGAATTAGTAGATAATAGTAAACTGTATAATGCATTATGCCATAATTTACACCTCAACCTGCATTTCATCAATGAGACCTTCACTCATTTAATAGAAGCTTTGACAAGTTTAGTGGAAACCAAGTTACCACTTGCATATCTTGTGTACAATTTAATAGAACATTTAAAGCATTATCTTGATAGTGGTCAGTCAAAGACAACATTTGGTCTAGAAAGTGATATTTTTTGGTCTGAACTGGAAAGCCTAGAGAGGAATAAGGTTACATCAAATTTGCAGGATGTATTCAGTACACAACGTTCGAAGTTGAGCAACTGCTTGGATACTTATTCAGTGTAAGAGTTTTATAAATCAACTCTTCTGTTTGATGCTAAACAGCTAAAATGTATTTGCCATAAAACTCAGCTCTCTGAGTTCCAATTCTGAGACATTATCCATTAAACCACACGTACATTCGAGTTCACAATACCTGGTATTCCCAAGTGGTCACCCTTCTAGGTACTGACCAGGCTTGACATTGCTTAATTTCAAAGGTCATACGAAAACCCATGGTTCAGTATGATATGTCAGGTATATTACTGGAATGCTTGGTTGTTCAAAAGATGGAAAGACAATTTTTAAAATAATTTTTCCTTTAAGAACAATGATCTTTACCCTGTACAAAGCCCAGGTAATCAAATCTCAGATCAAAATTGTCAATTTAAAATCCAGCTATCTATATATAAAATTCTGTGACTTGTTAATCTGTCCATCGCACCATCTAAAATAGCCATACATTGATTGATCAAAAGCAAATTTTGGGAGAAATATAAACAGGTAAGGTGGATACAAAGTACAAGTGGTGCATAGCTTAGGACAAATTTTCATTCATTTTTTTTTCTTCGGAAAATTAAGTTTTATCATTTAACATACAAAATATTCCCACTTTTTAATAAATAAAAAAAAGAAACAATTAAATGATTAAAATAACAAATATTTATTAGTTTTTTTATATATATATATATATATATATATATATATATATATATATATATATATATATATATATATATATATAAAAACCCAGTTTTCAATTCACAGTGTTTATGAGAACTATAAACAGATCACAGGATCAAACACTTAAAAAAAGTTGGAATTTGGCTCCACAGAGAAATATCTATGCATGGCCAGTTGTATATTGCATGCTCAAGAGTTAGAAATCCTAAGAAGTTATTCTTCACTGTTAAGGAAAAAAAAAAAAAGTAAATTTTCTTTAAAAAAAAAATTGTTTACAATGAAGTCATATGAAATTAAAGAAATTATTAAACTGTGAAGTAGGGTTTCCAAACAAATCAGCTTATTCAAATTTCATCAGGTGGTTTGTGAAATTGAATGAAACATAAAATTTGTACATTGGATCAAGGTTGAATGTCTATTATAGGAAAGTGAGGCAACACTTGTGGATGAAAGATTCTTGAAGATGGGAAAGTTTGTTGTGTAGTGTCCTCACATAGAAATTTGTGTCAGGTCAGTTGAGCGGGGAACTGCCCTGCGGCTTGCTGAGAAGGTCCTTTTAAGCAATCAGTGTAGATACACAATTCTGCATTTTTTGTTATATTTTGCTTTAGTGGCAACATTCGTGATTGGTTCTGATGTTAAATTTTATTTTATTGTTTTTTGGATTCATTTTGTGAGCCATATGCAATGCTCAGAACCTATGTGCGGAGAGAGACTTTATTTTGCTTTTGTAGCGTTCACATCCAACCAACAGATTTTGATGGGGGGTGAATCAGAAAGAAGCAGATTATATAATACCAACCAGAAAGTGAAATTAACCCTCCTAATACAGATGTCCATTTTAGTTTTCAATCAAATTGTTTATGTAGGTGTAGAATTCAATAACAAATGTAAAAATATTTCCACAAAAGTAAAAAAATAAATAAATAAAAAATAAATAAATAAAAAATAATTCTATTACAGAAAAGTTAAATCTGATATTTTTCGTGTTTAAATTTATGATTTTATTGTGCAAGCCAGGGTAGGGACTGTCCAGACTGAATAGAAAGGGAATATTTTTTCAATGTCTTATTTCAAACTTAGTCAAATTGTGTGTATGTGCATAAGTCACACACAACGTGGACACACATTTGTATGACATATGTGCTCACAAAGCCACACGTAGACAGTGTATGACAGACAGAGAACAAGTTTTTTTGTTTTTTTTTTTATAATAGATGATTCCAGAATTTTTTAAAACTATTTATGTTATTTAGGGAGCTAGATTTTTGGTAAATACAGACATCCATACACAACATCAGAAAATAAGAGCTGTAACTGTAGTAAAGTTAAAATTTAGTGGTAATTTTCTAACATTTCCTCAACAAGTGTCTTTGTAAGCAAGTACCTACAATTCAAAAAAAAAAAAAAAAAGAAAAAAAAAGGTGTTTATTGTATTCAACTAATTTTTACAGTTATGTACCCTTTACTTAAAAATGCCAAACCTTAAAATTCTTTGTTTTGGTTGTTTTTCTTTAATGACATATCAATCTCTATGGGGTAAGAAAAAGGAATCAGAATTAATTAACTTTTGAAAATTCTACATTGGGAACAGTAACAAATAAAATCAGGTCAAAATTAATGTATCTATTCAATTGCCAACACATTTTTATTTTAAAGTTATCGATTTTGCAGTTCAACTACAACTGGGGCAAAATTTAATAAAATTTTAACATGTGTTAAGAAAGAATTTGCAATTATTTGTGTTGCGTAAGCTAGGAAATGTTTTCAAAAGTA